ACTTAGCATAATGTCCTCCTGCTTTATTCATGTTGTTTCATATGACAGGATTGTTTTTTTTTCTTTTTTAAGGCTGAATAGTATTCCATTGTGACCAATGATGATGGGTTTGACAGTGCAGATAGTATTAGGTGTCTGATTCCATAGCTGCTGCTGATGGCTGAAGCCAAAGAAAATATCTGTCCATTTTCTCCCTTTCTACATCCTTCTCCTACAGACGAGCCCAGCCGGTGCTATTTCCATGATGGTGATGGGGTATGTGAGGAGTTCGAACAAAAAACTAGCATTAAGGACTGTGGAGTCTACACGCCCCAGGGGTTCCTGGATCAATGGGCATCCAATGCTTCAGTATCCCACCAGGACCAGCAATGCCCAGGCTGGGTCATCATTGGACAGCCAGCAGCATCCCAGGTAAGATCCTACTATGTGCAACATTTCGCACAGACATTCTGAATCTCTGCTATGCCTCTCAAGGCTGCCCACCTCAAAGTCAGTGTCATTAGATGTGGCTGCTTGAGCATATCTTTAGCCAAATATAATGTTAGGGACTCATGAGCACCATTTGTAAAGGATTAGATATGGAATCGTTAAGGGCAGGCAACATCAGTGTAGAGGGGGTAATGACTGTTCCTGGTTCCTACCTACTGCAATTCATATTGGGGGATATACTATTTTGGATATACCACAGGAGTTCAGCAGGATAAAAACAAATTGATTTAGGAAAGTCCCACTTTTTTGGGTGGGAGGTGAGGCAAGTTGTGTACTCCTTGAATTAGCACTCACTACCATGAATTTGCTGTGTGGCCTTGGACTAGTCTCCCCACCTCTCTGGTCCCCATTTTTCACATTTTTAAAATAGAGAGTAGTCAAACTTGATGATTTCTAAGGACCTTCCCAGTTCTAAGAACCTGTGACTTATTCCTTGGTTCCCTAATGCACTATTTATGTGTCATCGTTCTTCCCCAGGGAACTGTCAGTTTAGTTGAGAGAGTGAGAGTTTTGGGGCCACCAGAGCTTATGTGATTCAAGGGATGGCCATTCTGTCCCTAGAGCTCCCTTTCCAATTATCCTGCTGAGCAAGCACCTGCCTTCCTCTGAGACTCTCATTTCCCAGAGACATGACTCAGTGCTCTGACTGCCTGGCCCACTGGCCATTTCTGAGACCAGCCCCTCCTGGCCTTGCAGATGAGCCATTATTCCCACATTCCTCTCTAACATTGCCTCTTTGATTCAGGTTCAGTGCAGAAGGTCTGGCTTGTAGATGAGTTTGAGATATGACCTTCTTCTGGGCCCAGTGAAGAATCATTGAGTGAGATTCAAGACAGGAGCAGCTAATTTATTTGTTATAGCATCTATTTGACCATTGCTTCATTTGTGTTTGCTTATGCTTACATTATCAGATCCTGTATCTATTCATTTGCATGTATTTTTTAATGTCCTGTAAAGAGTGGGAAGAAGTGAGAACATGGGAATCCCCGATACCTCTCATGAATCCTACCAGCCGGGTGAATGAATGAACGAATGCATGAATGAATGACTAGGGTTGGTCCTCCCCGCATGCCGCTTCTCCACTTGGTGAACTCATCTGTGTGGTTGTGCTAATCCTGCTTAACTCTAAGTATCTATTTGTATGTCTGGCTTCCCCAATAAGCTATTAGTTCTTCAAGAACTGGTTTGAGATCTATTCATCTTTGTCCTCTCATCTTCAAGCACAAAATCTAGATAAGACCAGGTGCTCAGCTCAGGAAATGTGTATTTAATTGACTGCAGATATACACACATACACATACATACACATGTCTCCATGCAAATGAACAACACCTCTGTGTCACATAGAATGACCTGCTTCAGGAACAGCAGGGCTGGGGCCACCAATACAACCCCCACCAATTCAACCAGGAATTCCAAATTCAACACTAGCGTCCAGTTCCTAGAAATGTTTAAGAAACATCAGTCAAACAAGGGTGTGATAAACGCATTCAGAACCTCACATGAACAAGAGTGGAGGTAGCAGCTGTGCTTAAAAAAGCCACCAATACAACCAGGAATTCCAAATTCAACACTAGCATCCAGTTCCTAGAAATGTTTAAAAAACATCAGTCAAACAAGGGAGTGATAAACGCATTCAGAACCTCACATGAACAAGAGTGGAGGTAGCAGCTGTGCTTAAAAAATCACCCAAAGCTTATTGCTACTAATGTGAGAAAAGGAAAAAATTTCCCAGTCTTAGCATTTGAAAAGAGGCTTTGTGGGGCAATTATTCCAATCTTGTAAGAAGGGGGGAGGCTGTCAGGAATTATGGGTAATTATCTCATCCTTAACAAAAATCCAATTTTAAAAAATCATTATAAATACTAGCGCTTCGATCTACAAAGAGGAGATGAGGAAACAAAATCATCCTATTGAATTATTCATTGTGACCAATTTTATTTTAATGAAATCGACTAGGTTCCATTACTCTGGGCTTGGACATAATCTTTGTTACAAGGAGACTTCAGCTGTAACTAAATTTTCCATAATGAGATCAGCTCACTGGAGAATATAGGGTCAGGGGAGGGGATCTGTGTGCAGGCTGGGTGTAAGGCGAGGCAGAGGGTGGCCAGGAAGGCACAGAACAAAAATCTGAATTCCTCATCTGAGAACCTATGCCTGCAAGTCACTCACACACCCTTTCCCCCCAATCAGGCACATGCACATATGCGTGCACACACATACACACACAGAGCCTGATAATTTGGGGTAAAGGCTACTCCTGAAGTGGAAACATAGAGAGGGAGAAATGTAACTGTACCCTTCATTACCTCATGCAGTAATTAGAAGAAACTGGTAGTTAATTTTCACCCTGTCAGGGCCTCCAGTGAAGATGTTGATGGCTAGAGAGGAAGAGCTGGGAGGCTTTTAGAAGGTGGGCCTAGGAATAAGATGAGAAAATGCACCATGTACCCCTCACTTTCCCCCAACATGATCATACCCTCCCTTTCTCTTCCCCCCACCACATACACACACACACTCACACAAATTCATACATGAATAGGCCCTGTAGGAGCATGGATCCAGAGAGTGAATCCCAAAGCAGATAGAGGAGAATGGGGGAAGGAACTAGTCGTTACCAAGGGCCACCAGTCACTGTGCCTTCAACCAGTCATCTTGCCAGTCTTCAAGGCAAGAACTGTTATCTACCTTGGAGAAACTGAGAAGCACAATGGCTTCCCCACTAAGTCACTCAGCTCGTAAGTGGAGAATCTAGGATTAAATGGAAGATGACAGTGAGAGCTTGGGAATATGAGGTCATACCCAAAAGTTGGAAGTAACTGGATTCCTGGAAAGCTTTGCTGAAATAAGCAGTGTCCTAGATGGATAGATCTCAGTGTTAGATGTCACTATGCAGAACCCATGAGCTGCTTGAATTCTCCTAGACAGACTTGCAGACACTGCCCACACCTTCAAATTCAGGCTGCTCCCACTCTCTGCCAAAGTGGCCCTGTTCTGTGATCCCCTGGTGTACACTAGGACACTCTTTTAACTTGGGAAATGATGAAGTAACCGCAGTCATTCCCATTTCCTCTTTATAGTTCAGTTTTGTCCCCTGTCTTCCTTTCCCTAATGCTGTGGAAATGATGAATGCAGGGACTTATTGGAGTTATGAGCCCATCTCTGTGCTAGAGCCTGTGGAAGAAATCAAAGACGTAAAAGACTCAGCCTCTGATCTTGTCACTGCACTAGACTTAGGAGTGAGAATTCTACCAAGAGGTGCCATCTTGACAGAATAAGTCTGCAGAATCTCTGTGACTACTGCAAAGAAGCAATGCTTCTTACACTATGACTCTAGAATATTGATTAAAACTTCAGTTTTGATTTTGTCTAAGCCTGCCACTTCTAATGGTTTCCAGTCTCTCTCTCTCTCTCTCTCTCTCCCCCCCCCCCATTCTCCTCAAACAAGATTTCCAAATTTGGCTAGGGCAAAGCTAACCCTGAACACTGACTGTCATAGCCAAACGTTATCAGAAGTATCAAAACTTCCTGGTTGTGCAAATTGGGCTGAACATCCTATAATAAGAGACATTCTTTGGATATTTTGGCCATGCACCTTCCTGGCCCAGCTGGAATCAAGAAGTTCCTGAGAAAGAACAAAAATGGAAATGAACCAAAAAAAATCAAGTTCTCTCTCTTCTGGGAACTTCAGAAAATGGTTTGGTTTAAGTGCTTGCAAAGATCTCGTCTTGTACTTATTTTGTCTCTATGTTTTGTATTTCTTTAATGCTTTACACCAAAGGCTGCCAAAACGAGATGTGGCTATTCCTTTCTTCTGCCCACAACCCCAGCATTCTACCAAAGCCTATTTCCTCCTATCCAAACAGGCACCTCCCTACTTTCCAATGGCCTGAGGAGGAAATGGAAATACTAAAAGTATCTGGAATTCACAGTAATCTCCTAGGGATTACAGACCTTCAGTCCACCAACCAATTTATTTGGTTAATCCTTTGAGGGCAAAACTTAGACTAAGCATTTCCAGGGCAGTAGTTTGGGGGCCAAAGTAAAGAAAACCTTTCTAAGAATAAGAAATATCCACACTGGAACGGGATGACTTGTGATATAGAAAGCTCCCCATCATGAGACATTCAGGCTGAGCTGCATAGTGAACAGGAGATTCCCATATTAGAAGGCAGGTTGGGGGGCCGGCCCGGTGGCGCACTGCTATAGTGCGCCGCTTGGGAAGCGCGGCGGCACTCCCGCCTAGGGTTCGGATCCCACATACAGACCGGTTCCCGCTCACTGGCTGAGCGAGGCGCACACCGAGGGCTGCGGTCCCGTTGCTGGTCCCAGTCCGGTACGGGGGCGACACTGAGGGTTGCGATCTGTTGCCGGACATGGAAAAAGACAAAAAAAAAAAAAAAGAAGAAGGCAGGTGGGGACCAGGCCCCTCCCCTTTCTTTGTAATTAATTCTCTGACTTTATAGCCAATTAACCCATTACTGGGCATATCAGTTTTTTGCCACTTTAGTTTGAGTTGCTATTTTCTATTAATTGGCACATCCCTGATACTTCATGCTCCTATTAAAATACAAATTATAATACGTCTTGTGATACAGCAGTTTATTCACTTAATCAAACAGAGATATATTGGGGTCCTGGATCCTGAGGGATGTGAGGAGGGAGAGAGCATGGGTGTTAATGACGTGGAATCATGCAAATCGGGCTTTGCCCTCTTCACTTCTGTTCTTACTTGGGAACTTTGAGTAAATTATTCCTCTGAGAACCTCGGTGTCCTCCGCTGGAAAGTGGGAATGACGGAGAGTAAGAATGAACATGACACACTAGCACTGGGATTTTTCATTTATAGTGCAAATGTTCATTCCCTGTCTCATTCATGTCAGGCTCCTCTCTACACCCTCATCCCTGAGCTGGCCACA